ATTGTGTTTTTATATATACCCTCAAATATTTTATATTTGCAAAATTTACACCCAGATCACCCCTACCCCCCCCCTCCGCAATGAGAAAAAGATAATGACAACCCCAACTGCTTCTCGTATTCGAAGAGGATGGACGAAGATGAAGCTCGCGATTGTTAAAGTTGGCCAAACTTCTATGCTTTTTGAACAATCACATAAGTGCATTGTTTCCCTTGAATAGTTGTTGGCCTGTTATGAACCTAAATCAGAATAATGGACTACTTCACTTGTCGTGCTGCTTGAATGGTTGTTGGCTTGTTATGAACCAAAATCAGAATAATAGACTTTTGAAAGAAATTCTTTGTTAAGACTTAATTATTTATTTGAGTAGTTTGAATGATTTGTTTTGAACGCATGCAATTTAACATAGTTTTTTTAAATATATAAATATGTAAGTTCTGTGAAAATTTATGCAAATAGTAGCTGAGCAGGACAACAACATCGCCAACCCTTCAAGAGGCGAAGGTTGCAATAAGGTTGTGGGTTCATATTACTTTGTTTAATAGAAATATCATTAAAACTAATTAAATAAGAGAAGATTATACTAGTCATTATTAGTAATTTTTAATAAAGCTAGCAAAACTTAAGAGAATATATCAGGTATATTCCCTACAAGAATAAGTGAGAGATATAAAATCTCATTCTGAGAAAATTGGAGCAAATACCAAATTTTGGGGTTAATTTTAAAAATATCGAGATTTGAGGAGTATATATGCAATGGGTATGCCTACACCAAAATAAGGTGGTCTGGGCACCGCGCCAACCTAAGCGGCCACTTAGACATCTTTTACAATAGAAATATCTTCCATAATATAAGCATAGTTTGATTAATTGTAATTTCAGTCTGGATACAAGTACAAATGACGATGCTCTCATTTTTGCATTCTATAGCACAATTATTTAAGACCATCTTTTACAACAGAAATATCTTCTATATTATAAGCATAGTTTGATGAATTGTAATTTCAATATGGATACAAATACAAATGATGATGCTCTCATTTCTGCATTCCGGAGCACCATTATTTAAGAAGAACAAAGCCACCATTTATCATTTGTAATCTGGATTACAAGGCGTCATATTTCATAAGTCATTTCTGCTTATCGGTAGTTTGGTTGATTTCCCCAAAAAAAGGAAAAATTTAATTTCTAGCATTAACACCCTAAACCACATAAGCTAGTCAGCGATTTCTTCCTATTTCAAGCCTAAATTTCACTAAAATGGATTTCCTCTATTATTAGTCCTTTTAGATTCTCTTTTTTTAGGTTAACCAAACAAAAACAGAAATATGGATTGAAATCATGTTCCTATAAAAAAGAAGGAAACCGCTGTCCTTTGTTTTTAGCTCCAATCAAACAGCCCCTTAATGTAAGAACAGTAAGCGTTTGTCGTGTTCACTGTTATAAATAGCGATAAATAGCCACGTAATAGCGACGCTAATAGCGTTAGCGGTCCCTTCCCGCGACGCTATCGTCCGCTACGTTATCACGCAATAGCGGTGACATATTGCGGAATATGTCTGTTCGCAAAAGCGGTCAATAGTATGTCATAACGGTAAATAGTAAGCGATTGCATTCGAAATTTATTTTTTGACTGCTATTTAAAAGCGGTTTGAGGCTTATTTTTTTAAAATTAAACTCAACCATTGACCATTGTATTCCACCGTCTCCTGTAATTTTCAGCATACTCCCGTCACCTCTCATAGCCTCTAGCACCTACCTTGATACTGCCTCTCACCTCCTTCACCGTGAGCTCCTCTTAGGGCAGTCCTATCACCGCTAAGCTCTTCTTCTCGAAGACGACGATTTTTTGACTCCTCCAGTCATCTTCGTTATTACATGATGATTACATGTCTATTTCATGTTTAGGATATCTTTAAATCATCTAATGTGTACTTTTAGATTTCTTAGATTTTTTTTAATTTTTTTTAGTATTTATACATATCTAAATTAGACCGCTATTTGACTTTACGCTTTTTACCGTTATTTTGCCACAATAGCCCGAAATAATCTTAGCAATGCCTCACTGCTACGCGACGCTATCCGCTATCGATAACCTTGGTCGTGTTACACCCCTAAACCTTTGTTAATTTTATATTAGACCCTAAATCTTTATATTTCTAAATTAGGCCCCCAAATCTTCATGTTTCT